CTATTTGTTTCGATGAATTCAAATTTCCGGAGACATTTTTATGAATAATCATGACATTTGAAAATAATTTGTTATTTTCGTATTATCGTATATTATATTTAAATAAACATAGAAATAATATGAATAATTGAAACTAGAATAGGTTTGTGTACCAAATAACGTTCTTGCGGTGTGTAGTAAAACTATGATTTTAGAGCTACATTGAACAAGACTCAAGTGTATGTTTTTATCCCTATCTGTTAGATCGATACAATGATATACATAGATTACTGTAAATGCATCGCACCGTATCACTTAGAAAATTAATGTGTACTTGAGATGTTGATTGTATTTTCACTCTAAATAAAACCGTAGAGCTCGTTAATGAATTAAGCAAGTTTTTACTGAAACATTTTATTAAATCACTGATAATATCAGATATAATTGTGTGGCAAGATTAAATTGGAGCTCTGTATATATTGTTTAAAACGTAACTTTCATATAGGAAAGTAAATGTATTTCGCTATTTCAAAGATGCTGTGCATCAATAACGATGCAGTGGTGCTCGTTTAGTGGTTGCAAGTTTAACATTTTTTATGACGACCTTATTTCTGAGGCAACCGAATTTTAAAAATCATTAACCATTTTCTTTCTTTAGCTTGTTGGAGACAGAGTGAGAAACATTGAGTGAGGTAACAGTGATATGAGAATGAGAGACAGAGTCAGTATGAATGAGATACGTAGCAAGTTTATTTAATAAGATAAACACCAATCGAAGTGTGTTGGTTGGAAATTCTCTAAACGAATACCACTGTACATATGACACTAGAATATGTATACAGTCAGTTAAATATTCTAATTGGTGATACATTTACCTACTTTTGTCTGCAATAAAAGATTATTTATTATAATTTTTTTAAGAATGATTCAGCTATTTCTAGTATGTGAAACTAAATGCATGACACATTGTGTAGATATATTTATATTTAGGTTGCGACATTTTGTTATATTTTCAGCTTTAGAGTTGATTTGATATTCATATTCATATTCCCTGTTCACGAACTACAGCTCGCTACTTAATTATATATTTTAAATGGATGATTAAACTGTCATTTTTTACCTTAATGTCGTTTACTTATAATATTACCTCCTTAACAGAAATTTTTTATAGAAAGTAGTAACGCAATAATACGCTTTTACGGCAATTTGTGTCAGTAAAAAAGCCACCTATAGTTATACGTATATCTGTTTTTCTGTGTCCAATATATCACCTTTATCTAAATATCCATACATGTCTAAATAAGCCAGTTGGGCATGGAAATCTTTTCTTCCTTCTTCTGTGTATGCATTTGTTAACCCTTCGGCTAATACCAACGATTATATTCGCCTGACAAAAATGGATTTTAGTGTGTACAGAAAAATTATAAATTAGTCAGGACTTATCTCACAAATTTTATTTCAACACTAAAAAAAACTTGTTTAATTTTAACTGTTCATATAATGATTATAGTGAAATACGAATATTATTAATTCTTAATACAGAATAATTGTATACGAGATAGTATTTAACATTTTTATAACGATATGAAGGCACATGTTTCTGAATTGGTACTCCCTAAACATATCTTATATTTATACCTATTTCCTTCTCCTTTTCAATTCATTTGCATCATCATACAGTCAAGGAAATTAATACATTTGCTATCAGCATCACGTATGTGTATGCCAAACAGAATTTTGATTCTTATTAGAAAATTAGATTAGTTTCTGCATGTCATTATTTAAAATAATAACACATAGCATGGTATTTGGAGAATTCACAACATTTCTGTGGTGACATTTTTTTCATGTTTAATATGAGAATGTATTGCATTTTACATGTAGAATGTTATAATTATGAAAACTACTGGATCAAACGCTGATAATGGCTTTATTTTCTTTTACACCTGCTGGTACAGTGATCAAACATTTGTGTACATATATAAGCTTCATAAACTAATGCACTGATAATACAGTTACCATTTCTGTCGGCATTTTTTAACATTCTACAATATTGTAACAATTATCCAGGAAATGGATCTTACAAAGTTTTAAATTGACTGGATAAGAATTTATGCTTATTTAACACAGTTACAATTTCGAAATTCAATATTGTAGAAAAATGAATATTTTTTAACTGAAGCACAATTAATAATGTGTCATGAAAAAAAGTCTTCGAATTTTACTATCAAAATTGGACACAATGTTGACACCTTATTGGACACTTGATTGGAACCCAGGTCGAACTAATGTCTTTTTGTGTACGATGTACTTCTGATATATTTATATAAGCTAATAAGTATAAGTTAATGAAAACAATGATTCTATTAGGTTCGTGAAAATATTATTCAAATTTAATTTACGCCTAATGAAATGAGGACAACGTATAAATGTTATACAAAATAGAGTAGGAAGCAATTATCAAGATATATTTAGCGTTAAAATAGATATACGTTTGGATATGATTGCCTGTGAGTGCTTCCATTGTGTTAGTCATATTTTTTGTTCCCTTCGTCTGTGGGTAGGGATACAATATGGTACAAGGTAGATGAACAGTTCCTAAAGTATGGTCAGCGGCCAACTAATTGAAGCATCATATGTAGAATATTACGAGCGTACGCGGGATAGGAAACTGTCACTAATTATTAATTGCTACACATTAGTGTTTCACATTCTGCAAGGTGCTAACATCGATTAACCGGCTGCGATAGCAAAGCAAGAAGTTTAAGAATTAGTAACATAGATCCATTTATTTTATGGATTGTTCCAATTGCAGGTTTGAAGTTTCGATATTGTCAAAAATGCTTTATTACTCGAGCGTTCTGTGCTCGAATGCACCGATCAGATGGTGAACTGTAGAGAATATTTAACTATAAGCGGACATTCTTTTGTAATAATATTGTAACTTACGAAATAAGTTAGAAATCAGGAACAATGGAATTCCGGTCCAAGTTTTGTTTTTCAAAATATAATCAAATCGAACGGGAAAAGTTCGGGGAAATTTTGCGTGAAATTTTGGCAAACATCGCCACGCATGGAGCAAGTTGCATCAGAATTTATTTCACGGCAGCGGATGTATGTCAATTATAGGAAATTGTGACATATATTAAAAAAGGAACATACGTCACGTTGTATGACAATAAAGTTTACTTATGCAAATTCATCGGGGCATATCAAAAGACCTAAAACTGGATGTTTAAATGAATACTGTGTGAATACCACTTTCAATAGTGATTTTATTTCCAAAAATAATTTATATACGTTCTGTGATTGTTACGTTGACGAGGGTTTACTGCAGCACAGTGCGATTTCAACACAGAGATGTATAAATGAATACACATGCTCATAAAATTGAACTTTATTTGGCGAATGTAACTTTAATTAACTTTAATTGAACGGATTCAGAAAATTAACTATAATGGTTTTCAAAATATGTTCCGCGATAAAATTACGAGATATCTCGAAGAAAAATAATAATGTAATTAAAAACCGAGCATTTTTTATGATTGATGATTGGACGATTCTTGTCATGGAATTCATGGTAAAATGTATTAGAGTATTAAAACAATTTGTCATAATTTTAGCACTACGTATGGCTATATAAGCCCACAATACAGAAATATTTTTCTATACTTATTCTTCTTTGCACGTGTTATTATTCTTTTATTATGAGCTCTATGTAATTTATTTTCTTCATTTCGTCATTTTTAACACCAACTGAAATCATTAAATTTTATGAATTTGAACACATAGTAATGTAAATTTGTATTCTAACAAATCTAAGTAAATTTTCTTCGTATCGAATTTTGTTCACCACATAAATTCTTCTTTTCCTCATTTTGCCTTTCATTCCCTACTGATGATCTTCTCTGTGATCATAAAAATAGAACGACCAGCTATCAGGTTTGTCAAACGTAAATTTTTGTTCATCTGAAAACAATTAAGGACACGTGGTCGAAAACAGCACGAGTCCTCCAACTGATATTTCAAGAAAATCGGCATTTTTATCTATCTTCTTTATTTTATTATCAATATTGTTGATTTTTGCTGTGAGCATTATTTTTATGTATGTTAGTGATGACATTTTCACATTGTTTTAAACTTAAACTGTATTGAACGCGTTCAACGACCGAGTCAGCGACGTGTCGAGTGTCAGCGAGACTCACACATATTATAAGCAAAGCAAAAGATTGGAACCTCTCTCATATTCGATTCTTTTTTATTAAACTTTGACCATAGTAGTCGTTTTATTTTTCTGATTAAAATAGCACCAAGCACGATATAATTATCCTTCCCTACGTTCGGAACGCAATAAAGAATGCAGTACTATATCTTCTATAATTGCAACTCTGCAGACTCGAAGTTTTTGCAATTATGGAGAGATACTGTACTGTTCCTCTTCGGTGTAGTTTCCATAACCATTCTATTCCCTTTTGGTTTATCTAAAATATATTTTTTAACTTTCTTCGCCTAGTCTTTTGTTAAATCGTTTTCTTATTTTCACACGAGTCTTACCTACTAAACACTAAGACGCTATTTTTTCCTTGTCTTGTTCCACAGTTTTGTTCCCATTCTTGTGTCGCTCTATCTCAATCTAGCTCTAAAACTATTTCTTTCGTAATATTTCAAATTATTTTTCTCATAAAATCTCATTCTTCCTCCGACTCTAGACCTTCTCGTTTTTCTCTAGATCGAATCTTCCCTCATTATTCCTCATTATCTGATTCCCCACTTGGCCCTTTACTTTTTCTCATCCCTGCAACCTGACCTATCTTTTTATTTTCACTGTTATATTTTCTTTTTCAATTCATTACTGCAAAATAAAAATCGTCTACATTTATACCAAGAGACAGGAGTTAAATATGAATGTTAAGATTGATTAAAAGTCTTCAAATGTTCTTGTTACTTCGTATTAGATCTACTAATTTTTGCAAAAAATGCATAAAATCCAGTTTATTCGTTGCGATATATTTTTCAACTTATATACAGATTTTTTGTCTTCTCCTATCTCCATATTTCTATACTAAATGTTACCACCATATTCGCTAAACTTTCAAATGTCGACAACCATTTTTCGCATCTATTGTCAACTCTCTTCGCGTCGATTTTACTCATTTCGTTTATGGTAATCATTGCTTTCTTTATTATTTCTCTTCGCTAATTTTTCTTCGGTGTTTTATATTTTTTTTTATAAAAGTGTACAAACTCTCTCATCACTGCCAGTTGGTTTTCATTTCATTTGCGTCAGGATCTTATAATTTCTGATTTATCTAGAGTTAACCATAACTGTTCCTTCACCAATACCTTCGCTACCTTCATCATTTTTCGTATTCACACACCAGTACGTTCGTTGAAAAAATGTGAAATGTAATAAATGTGTCAAATGATGTACCGTACCTACCACCCTTCAAAATTCTAATGAAAATTCAGTAGCTGGATTTAAAATCGTAACACATTGTAGACAAAAGGAATTAATATACAAAATGATCGATTCATAAAAGGAATGTTCCAAGAATTTCTATATTAATTTTAATTTCTAATTAATTTCTATACAAATTTTACTCTTTTTGGTATACATTTAAAATAAACGTAACTTACATTTATTTCACTTTATAATTTATTAAGATCGATATTGTTGTTATAAACTGACATTTAATTTATCTTATAAAAAAAACAATAACAACTATATAGAGTTATGTTGAAATCGACAATAGAATTGGTCGACAGGAATTCACCGAAATCACAGAGACTGGTATCAATTAATATCATAAATGTGTAAAATGATGTACCGTATATTAGGATTACTTAAAATAAAAACTAAAGAGGAAGAAAATCTATAGTCATACAGAATTTAGGATACTGAAACGCAAACCTTTTGTTTATGTATAATGCAACTTGGTGCGTTTATCGATCTTAGCATTGATATTCGACTCCTACCAGTTATAATAGTTTATAACAAATACGTATCGGAAAGAACGGAACACAATCTCCTGAATTGATATCACGCAAGAAAAGGTCATTTGTTATTGTAAATATGGAGTACAGATGATTCTTGCCGCAACTCCCATAAGACGCAATATAAATTCCGGCATGAATTATGTGCTGCAGAAAATATTAATATAGCGCCAATACACATAATGGCAAAACGCTCAAACCGTTCGTCAAAACCATTCACAAATGATAACTGTGAGAGTGCTACAGATGGCGCCACTAAACAAAGCCTTCGGAAAAACAGTAATGATTGTTTCTTGCATCTCGTGTAATAACGTTATTTTTATACAGCCAATGATTATGAAAAACGCAGTAATAATAATTTATACTCTTCATTTTCAACAATAAACAAAAATTCTTCTCGTGAGACAGATCCAGGAGAGTCTTCCGAATATTTCCGTATTCTAAGATGTTCATTAGTTATTAGATTCTGCTGTCAAACAAAAATTAAATACTGTAGAAACACACAGGATCAAAACAGTACCAGATAATTAGACTACACTTCTATTTTAAATCGGAATCAGAACAGAGCAGATAGAACTACAATTACATTGTAATCAAACACTGTTGGATAATCGAGTGTCGGATAATTTTTACTGCACGAATATTTTCATTCTAGAGCACCTTGTGTTTGTTTTAATAGAATATGGAATTGATAACGAATTCTTGATCGAAGCTAAGTTTAAAATTGTATTATTGGTGGCGGGAGATAGAAGAAAGAGATTGGAAGAGTTAAATTGCCTAATCGACATTGTTTGATGGAAATTTTACGAAACAAACAACGCGAGAGTTTCAAAATGTTCTACATACTTGGAAGATGTGGACGGTGGCGCTACCTAAACTTGGCTCAGTACTAGTCCCCTGATGTAGGGGTTTGACACGTATGCTTGTCCCTTGTTTCCGGATTTGTATAAATGTCAGTTGACCACTGGGAAGATATCGTTGCCTTTCATTTTTACGTGATTTTATCGTGATCAGGTACATCGAACACGACAATATCCATGCGATTACCATAGCATTCGAATGACACACGAAACCTACATCCGAGGTCAACATAACCTCAATGCCCATCAGTTTCGTAAATAAAACAGTCAAAGTAGTTGGATTTTCGCTACATTTAATGCGATTTTAATTTGCAGTTCGTAAGAGAAAGTCTCCCTGGTAGATTGTACAGCAGTGACGAAAATGAGCACCATCGCAGAGCAACCTTGTTATACGTTGATTAACATTCCAACCGACACAGAGCCTTTAAACGAGCTCCAGTTGAAGCTGGATCTAGAGAAGGGCGATGCCCAGACAAAGATTGAAGCCCTGAAGAAGACCATCCACATGATCCTCAGTGGAGAACGTCTGCCAGGACTTCTGATGACTATCATCAGGTTTGTCCTGCCGCTGCAAGATCACACAATCAAAAAGCTTCTTTTAATATTTTGGGAGATAGTGCCGAAAACTTCTCCAGATGGCAAGCTTCTACAAGAGATGATTTTAGTTTGTGATGCGTATAGGAAGGACTTGCAGCATCCTAATGAATTCGTCAGAGGCTCGACCCTCAGGTATTGATCGAACAAACACATTTCTTTATTGGTTGAACAATTGCGATAGAATGTTGCATCTTTCAGATTCCTGTGTAAATTGAAAGAGCCAGAACTTTTGGAACCGCTGATGCCTGCAATTATTACTTGTTTGGAGCACAGACACTCCTATGTCAGACGTAACGCTGTGCTGGCAATTTTTACAATTTATAGGAACTTTGAGTTCCTCATTCCTGATGCTCCAGAATTAATAGCCAAATATTTAGAAGGAGAGCAGGACATGTCTTGTAGGAGAAATGCATTTTTGATGCTCTTACATGCTGATCAAAACAGAGCACTAGCTTATTTAGCTGCTTGTTTGGACCAAGTGCCCAGCTTTGGTGATATATTACAGCTGGTTATTGTTGAATTAATCTACAAGGTGCATATACGTTTTAAAGTATTTCCCTATTGATTTCAAATGTTAACAAACGTCGTTAATTGATAGGTGTGTCTAGCAAATCCATCAGAAAGAGCACGTTTCATTAGATGCATTTATAGTTTATTGAACTCTCCAAGTGCTGCTGTACGTTATGAAGCAGCTGGTACCTTGGTAACACTGTCTAATGCCCCCACAGCGATTAAAGCTGCAGCCTCCTGTTATATTGAGCTAGTTGTCAAAGAAAGTGACAACAATGTTAAACTGATCGTGCTTGATCGTTTAATCGCGATGAAAGAAAGTCCTGTTTACGAAAGAGTTCTCCAAGATTTAGTTATGGACGTACTTAGAGTTCTAGGTACGTTTTCGAAAAATAAATGAAGAAACAACCATGCTGCAATAGTCGGAATTTCGCTAAAAATATTATCCCTTCAGGTTCACCGGCATTAGAAGTCAGAACTAAAACGTTAGCCCTGGCCATGGACTTAGTAACCACACGTACCATAGAGGAAATGGTTCAGCTCCTAAAGAAAGAAGTATTAAGAACTGTGGGCGGGGAGCACGAAGATGCTGGTAGATACAGGCAACTTCTTGTGCGAACATTGCATGCCTGTTCAATAAAATTCTCAGACGTGGCAGCTACGCTGATACCTGTATTGACAGACTTCTTATCAGAAAACAACGAAGCTGCTGCGACAGATGTGCTAGTGTTCGTCCGTGAAGCTATTCAAAGATTCGAGAATCTTAGACCGCTCATAGTTCAAAAGCTACTTGAAGTAAATATCTATAGTAAATAATTTACATTTTATAGCTTAACAGATCGTAACGAAATAATCTTTCCCTTACAGGTATTCCCACATATCAGATCGGTAAAGGTACACAGAGCGGCTCTATGGATTTTGGGTGAATATGCTACAACGAAAGAAGACATTGAAGCCTTCATGAGTCGAATACGAGCTGCCTTAGGAGAATTACCATTACTAGAGGCAGAGAACAGGCATCAAGCTGGCGAGAAGACGGAAGATGGAAATACTCAAGCCACTCCAGCACAGTTGGTCACATCGGATGGAACTTACGCGACCCAGAGTGCATTCAGCACTGCATCCACTAGTACGTATCTTTTAAAATACTTCCGTACAATAAATAAGTCGATATCAATTTTCAAATTATTTTATCCAGCTAAGGAGGAAGAGAAACGCCCGGCATTGGTTCAGTACATGATGGAGGGTGACTTCTTCATTGGTGCATCATTAGGTACGACCTTAGCCAAGTTGGCGCTTCGTTACAAGGGCCTCGAAAGTGATGAACAAAAGCGCAATCACATGCAAGCCGAATCTATGTTAATAATGACCAGTGTGTTGCAATTGGGTCGCTCCGGTTTACCCGCCAAGGCAATGACTCACGATGACGCTGAACGATTGTTCCTGTGTCTAAGATCTCTAGCTTGTCCAACACCGCTTGTACAGAAGGTATTCACCGAGGGTTGTCGAGACGCCCTTGGACGAATGCTGACAGCTAAAGCGGAGGAAGACTCGCAAACACAGAAGGTAGTGCACTCTTGATGATGTGCTTCTTTGCAACCAATTTACATTTTTGTTCTCGCAGGCTAAAGAAAAGCCAGGTAGCATCGTCCAAGTGGACGACGCCATACAGTTCCTACAATTAAGCCGTGGATCGGATTTGACGGGTGGAGCTGCAGACATGTTTGAACAAAGTCTCAGCGCTGCCGTTGCAGGAAGACCCGGTTCCGGTGCAGACGCCCCAGCTCCCAGTGCTTTGAGCAAGGTCACCCAGTTAACTGGTTTTTCGGACCCAGTGTACGCAGAAGCTCTGGTTCACGTCAACCAATACGACATCGTGTTGGATGTACTAATTGTGAATCAAACTGAGGACACGCTTCAGAATTGCACTCTGGAGTTAGCAACGATGGGTGACCTGAAACTCGTGGAGAGGCCGCAGCCCATCGTGCTCGCACCGAGAGACTTTGCGAGCATCAAGGCCAACGTGAAAGTAGCCTCCACAGAAAACGGAATTATATTTGGCAATATAGGTGCAGTTATTAAGTTGGACATTCATAATTTCGAGCTTTTAAGTAGAAGAAGCTATTACAACAGAAAAAAATCTCGGACGCCTTCGAATGCCTCCTACTTTTATTTAATTATTTCTAGTTTACGATGTATCCGGTGCTGGGTCCGACAGGAGTGTCGTAGTACTGAACGACATACATATCGACATTATGGACTACATAGTTCCAGCAACCTGTACCGACGCGGAGTTCCGGCAGATGTGGGCAGAGTTCGAATGGGAGAATAAGGTGTCTGTAAATACCACGTTATCGGATTTGAGGGAGTATCTTGCCCATTTACTGAAGTCCACGAACATGCGCTGTCTGACCCCGGAAAAGGTAGGTTCATTTTATTTGGATTATGTGGAAAGTTGGAGTCTAACTGCGACATGTTTCGATGTTTCAGGCACTTTCCGGACAATGTGGCTTCATGGCTGCGAATATGTACGCGAAATCGATATTCGGCGAGGATGCATTAGCGAATATGTCCATTGAGAAACCATTAAACAAACCGGATGCCCCAGTGGTCGGCCATATTCGTATCAGAGCAAAGAGTCAGGGGATGGCGTTGTCGTTAGGGGATAAAATCAATTCCACGCAAAAGGGCCCGCAGAGCAAGGTCGTACAAGCTGCTTAAAGCACGTAGTCTCTAATCGAACTCACATCGATCTTCAGTATTCGAATTATTACGGGAGACCCAATTGGACCTTATGGGTATCGCAGATGACGGCCATTCCCATTTGTCTTCGTCAATTCCACAACTTCGATTCTCTTCTTCAATTAAACGTTGAAGTATGTTTTCTACAAATATACGCCCGTATTAATTTCAGCGCCATTGTTGTTTGTTTGTTTCCTTTCTGTACCGTCAGTCGCCAGCACCGTCGAACGACGATACACCTTATGTATCCACCAGCGAAGAAATATACATACACGATACTTTAGCCTGTAAGTCTGGATTTCGTTCGATCGAAGCTGATTTATTTGGTACATATTTTTTAAGAAATAAAGAACGAACACACTACTGCCCTTCACATGCCATTTTATTCGCGCATGATAAAAATGTTTCAGAACACAATCTCAAACAAACAAAACATCGATATTTTAGTTCTACAAACCATTTTTTAAATTTCATCAAAAGAGGAGATTTAGCTGTAAACTGTCACGTAAATTTGTAACTAGAGCATGAATTGAATTCAAATTTTAAATTGTAAAATAGTTTTAAGAATTATACATATTTTAGTTGTAATGTTAATGTTCAATTTTGTAAAAACAAACGGTAAAATAAAATGATATATTCATCATGTTCGTTTACGATGATTCAACATGTAAACATTTGCAACAAACAAAAGTAAAAAAATTTCGTTCGTGCAACTTTTTTTCCCTTACTTTATCTAATCTTTTCTTCACGTTTTTACTTGCCTCT